ATGAAAAGACGAAATTTGATGATTCTATTTACCTTAAACATAACAACAATTGTTGTACAGTAAGTTATAAACACAACCGCATTAATGATTATCACAAACAAATATATGTTTTCAGCAATCAATTTAATAACTCTAAGGACCCTGTTGGTCTTAAATTTAATGTAAAATCATAGTCTGAAAAAACCTAAAAATTATTGTAACAAATATATATTTGGTTGCCCTAATTATGTATAAAAATGATTGCCGCAACTAAATATATATTTTCAGTTAACTATTTAATAATTTTATGAAAACTGTTGGTCTAAAATTTAGTGTAAAATTATAATCTTAAAAAATATAAAAATGATTGTAACAAATATATACTTGTTTGTCCTAATTATATATGAAAATGATAACCGCAACCACATACATATTTTCAGTAATTAATTTAATAATTGTAAGAACCCTGTTGGTTTCAAATTCAGATGAAAATTATAGTCTGAAAAAATATAAAAATGATTCTAACAAACATATACTTGTTTTCACTAACTATATATGATTGCAGTAAACAATATATTATGCTTCCAGCAACTTAATTTCTTTTCACAACCAACCATATTTTTTTCTGTGTATAATTGATTTTTTTTCAGACTTCACCGGATGTCAGTTCATTGCATTTAATTGTATTCAAAAATATGCCACCAGCAAGTTTTTTTTTATTTCCTTTTGTTTGCTTTCTTTTATTAGCATTAATTTTAATGTATTTTTGTGTAATTTGCTATAGATATTTTGTTTATTAAATATCAAAATAAATATTTTTCATTTAAAACACTCTTAAGGTATTTATTTCGAAAATAGGAAAATAGCAAAATGTTTATTTATTTTGTATATTTATTAACACATTTATAAAGTTCATTAATTTAAAAGAATATTTGGTTAAAAAAAAAAGAATTTAAATGAAAGAAGAAAACAAAATGAAATCAGAAAGATTTGTAGGCATTAGTTCTAAATAGAAAAGATTTTAATGTACTTTTTGTTCACTTAATACCCCTACAGTAGGGATGTATAGTCCTACATCCAATCTTATCAAGTCATCTCAGCACTTCTTTCATTATTATCTTAGCAAAGATTGTTCTGTTAATTGACCCATATTTGCCGAAAGTTGTCTTAAAAGGCCTTATACCAAAAATTGAACTACATAACTAAGTGTAGGATATCATATTATAAACGACTATACTTTTCGATATGTTTCAAGTGTATATTTATACCCTACACTATTTTAGTGGGAAGGGTATATTGGATTTGTGCTGATGTTTGGAACGCACAATAATCACAATAATTGGTCCTATACACCTTAAAGTATACCAATCGGCTTAGAATCATTTTCTGAGTGGATTTAGATATGTCCGTCCGTCCGTCCATGTAAACTTTGTAACCAAACTACAGGTCGCAATTTTGATGATAATTTAATGAAATTTGGTACATGATCTTCTATTGTCCCAGGGATGAAGCCTATTGAAAATGGTTTCACATAGCCCCCATACAACTGAAACCAGGAATAGGGCTTGTAAACCTTGTAATCAAACTACAGGTCGCAATTTTGAATATAATTCAATGAAATTTGGTACATGATCTTCTATGGTACAAAGCCTATTGAAAATGGTTAACATCGGTCCATTATTCCACCTAGCCCCTATACAACTGAACCCGACGAATAGGGCTTTTGAATTCATAATTATGTTTAATATACTCGTATCTCGACAAAAAGCTGCAAAACCAAGTGCTATAGTAGCCTTGATGACTCTCATGAATTTTATAATTATAGGGTCTCATTTGACCATAGCCCCCTTCAAAATTTTTGACTTAAATTTCCACAATTTTATTCAACAATAAATGGCTTAAGTATATCTGAGACAAAGTACAATTCAACTTCAATGCTTTATTATGAAAACTAAATCACATTTTATTTTTGTAACAGGTGTAGGGTATTATAAGGTCGGCCTCGCCCGACTATAATTTCTTGATTGTTTGCATTTGTATTTGTATGTCAACCATAATAATATAAAATTGTGTTTTCTTAACACATTTTTATAAAAGAAAAGAAAAATGAACAACAACAAAAATTTAAAAAAAAGAACTAAAATAAAACTAAGAAAAAATCATTTTTCATTCAAAATAAGTTGAGAAAATAAAATGTGGGCTAAATGGTTTTAATTTTTGTTTTTTTCATGTTCATCAGCCGGTATATTCTTGTTTAAAAATCTGTACAAGGTCTTTGCAATGGTCTATATACAATAATAATATTTTTAATGTTTTTCTTGTAATTTCTGTTGTTGTAGCTATTTTTTTTTTGCTATTTACTATTGTAACTAAAAAAGAAAATAAATGTGTGTTTGTAGTTTCAACTTAAACCGAATGAATGGCTGCTGAAATAGTTTTCATTTTTTGCTGTTGTATGTTGTTGGTGGCGCTCTTTTATTGGCAGCAGGTGCAGAGATTTTTTTGTTGGTTGTTTTTTTGTTCATCTTCTCCCTCAACACAAATATCTTACAAATTGTGGAGGTCACAAACCTGCATACATACTAGTACTTTTATTTAAACACACATACATAGACATAGAAGAAATGTAATGCAATGTGAGAAGAAGATATTTGAACATGAATTTTTTGCGTTAAAAAATGTTAAAATAGAGAAAATACACTGAGAGATGGCAGTTTTTGGAAGTATGTAAATGACAAAAAACTAGTCAAAGGTAAAAAAATCAAATTTAGTTTTTAAAAATCAAGAAATACGCAAAATTTTAGAGATCTGGAATAGTAAATTTTACAATTTTGGATATCCTGTTCGTATAGTTAAAAGTATCCCAGAGATAGCGTTTAGCATTGTTTGAAACATATGTTAGTTGGACGAGACAAGGGTGAAATTAATTTTTAACGACTTTTTAACAGGTATTGCAACATGTTGCTGCCGTGTTTTACTATTATTCCTTGCGTTTTTTGGTCATTACCATGTCTAGTCAGAATATAGATTTCTTATGCTTAGTGTTATCGTATTGCAATATCCCGGGGAAAAGAGGTGCTCTAGTCTGCCCGGACTGTAAACAGGCCTTTCCTTGGAATGATTTAACATGGGGTCGAACCAGAGCACCATATAATCTAGCACTACGGGTGGCCAGTTGCCCACATAACTTGTCCTGGCTGGTCAGTTGGTTGAGGTTCCTTTGGCATCCACGTAGTGTCTGTGGTTTAAACCAAAATTCGCGGGGAGAGAATATTGGTTTAAGGACTGATATTTCCTATGCCATATATGACTGGATTCTTTCTCCGGTGCTGATGCCATCTCAACATATGTCACTAGGTGATGTGACAGAGAAACTTATACTGGATTCCTGAACCCGTTGAGTATCTCTTACTCTTCGCGTAGTAGGGCGCCAGTACAGGTTGGGGAATTTTCAGGTTGACAAGTTATAGTTGTTACAAGATAGTTGAATTCATTCCGTTGATCGTTCTTTATGGTGTGAGAATACAGCTGATGTATATTGGTGAACGATCGGGAAAGACTCCTCTGCCCGACAGTAGATTAGTACTGATTGAGTAAACTTCTTACTTCAGGGAAGTTTTCGGTGCTGTTGTCATCTTAACTGGATTTATATTGTTTCATGCTACGCGACTAATGGTTGAAGTGCACCACTCAACTTGTCGAAGCAATTGTTCGGTACGAATTGACTTTGGAAATTCCCACACAGAGGGAAAAGGAAATATACACGCCTGGTATCAAATTGACACCGAAGAGTTTATAATTTTTCAATAACATCCATTGTCAAAGTATATACATACCTAGGACAACACTATGTAATGTTGACAACGTTGAGTTGCAACAATTCATTGTCGAAATCTAAATTTTATACACATCCGTTGTCTAAATATTAACAAACGTGGTAAGCTCACTATTGGCAACGGATTGTTTGTCATTCGTATTTCGGACTATCAAATACGTCTCTAGGTTCTGTTGCCGAATCAACAGGGCCATCTCAGTAGTGTGGTTGCGCGGGCTTTAGAAGGTTAAGGAATGCACTGGAATGGATCATTAGTTGATGGGGATTGCATTTTAAATAATGCAATCTTTCATGACATCAAAAGAGTGGTCACCTTCCGTTATACCGTAAGATTGACTTTAGACCTGTGATTTCTTTTTCCTTGTCGGGGTTTGCATTAGGATTGATCCCATTCCGCAACGGGGCTACAATGGCAAGATATTAGATAGCTCGACTACTTCAGCAAAGTGCTTGTACACATACGGGCACAGCCATGTACAAAAATTGCCACCTGAGTTCTTCATAAAAGGATTCAGGGGCGCGTGGTCGACCGTTTCAAGTCTACCCAGTGGATGAAAAAGACAACTCAGACATCTTGTCTGCATGTCCATGTAAACTTTGTGCGCCCCTTCTTTTGACTCAAGGACGATGCCTATTGAAAATATTTAAAATCCCTCGTAAAACCGTACTCCCCGAAGAGAGCTTTAAAGCTAATATTTACTTGAAATGATCTATTATATCTACAAAACATCCGCAAAACATAGTTTTTCATAAGTCTTTCATATACTCCCGACTTTCGCAATGATCGGCCCCCATTCAAAGTTCCTTCCAGAAAATGACTTGAAGATTAAAATTCACTTATAAACACTAATAACACCATGAAATTCTGCACAAATAACTTTAATGTAAACATTTATTACAAATCCAATTTATTATTTAGAAATTTCACTTTTTTTTTTTGGAATTTCCCCATAAGTGAAAAGCTTTTCTCAGTGTATTTAACATATTTTATCTCATCCATTTTAAAAATTCTTTTGAGAAAAACCACGTATGTGTATGTATACACAGAGAAAATAGTTTCCTTAGGATAAACAAATGATTTAGTAAGATCCACCAAATCATATAATTGTGGTAATACAACAATTTGTTTGTTACAACTTAAAAGCTAATATTTGTACTTGGAATAAAAAATAATAAAAATACTCACCTATTGTTCTTTACTGATACAACAGTTTTTTCCCAAATTTTGAAAAGAAGTTTTCTTTCTTTCAGTGTAATTTCTGTTAAATAAATTTCTTTATTTTTTCTGTTATTTTCTATTCACACTTCTTTTATTTTATTTTTATTGGAGAGCAAGACATTTATTTTATTTTTTTTCGTATTTTTTTCCTAGTGTGTATGAATGATTTTCTTTCACTTTTTTTTATTATTTGTTTGGCACTTGAACTAAATTCTTTTCGGAAAAAAATTATATAGAAGAAATATAAAAATATGAAAGATGCCAATATGGCTGAGATGCCACCGCTATAAATAAGTTAATAATTTTATTCTAGTTTTTTTTTTTTTTTTGTCGTTGTGCTGGCTTTTTGTTTTAGTTTGAGATATTTTTTTTTTGTATTTATGTTATAAACGACACACGCACTTATATGTATGTATGTATATAGTCAAACACAAACACTATAAAATGTTGTTTTTCGAGCAATTTTTATTTTCCTACTTTGTTTTTAGTTGTTATTGTTGTTAATCAATTATGATGGCTTTTGAATTTAGTTATTATTAATATTATTAATTTTTATGATTTTCATTTTTTTATTATTTCCTTTATTTTGTTGTTTATTTTTTGCTTATTAGTTTTATAATTTATTCATTTACATTGTTAATATAAAATGATGAAATATTGTTACTGAGTATGTAAGAACTTTTTTTTTGCTTAGAGATTTCTGGGTAAAGCTATACACGCCTGGTATCAAACTGACACCAAAGATTTTATAATTTTTCAATAACATCCGTTGTCAAAACTATGTAATGTTGACAACGCAACGTGACAATAGCAACAATTCGTTGTCGAAATCTAAATTTTATACACATCCGTTGTCTAAATGTTAACAAACGTGGTAAGATCACTATTGGCAACAGATTGTTTGTCAATGGTAAGCTTACCACGTTTGTTAACATTTAGACAACGGATGTGTATAAAATTTAGATTTCGGCAACGAATTGTTGCAATGTTGTTGTTCGTATGTATATATTTTGACAACGGATGGTATTGAAAAATTATAAACAGTTTGGTGTCAATTTCGTACCAGTCGTGTATATTTCTTTTTTACTCTGTGTATAAATGTTTTAACAACATTATATTTATGTTTTAAAATATCGTATATAGTTAGTATGAACCTTTCACCATACATTTTTTATACACTTAAAGAATTTTCTTTTTTATTAGATTTTCTTAAATATCAAGACAAACATGACCAGCTGTTCGTTGGTTTTTCGGTTTGTTGTGTACCATAGGAAAGCGGTGGTATATAAAGAGAATTTTCTTGAGATTTTTTTGTATTTTATTTTTAAGATTAGATATAAAACAACTACAACAAATAAACAAGTAGATGATGAAGACCACAACAACAAAAGAAAACGAATGTCGTCAAAACGTCGCGTCTTGTTGAAATTCACCATTAACTAAAAATACGCCAACATCGATTATGAAAAGACAGCCATGTATATACACGGTCTTGGTATTTAGGGGGGAGGGTGTAAAGGCACTTTCGTGCAAATTAACATTTTTTTCATTTATTATGCCGGTTGGACTATTTTCGATTTTTTATTTTTTTCCTGTGGTTACTTAAAGTCTAGGGAGCAAGTCATATTTATTTAAGTTTGAGGCAAAAATTTTTTTTAAGAATTATTAAGTCATTTTGGCTAAATTAACAATTTTAATATCTATATTAATATAAGATTTATGAACAATATAAACATTTTCAGGGGAAGCTCACTATAACAGTTTGGACAATTATGTTGTGAAATCTATAGAATTTAAAAGAGTAATTTCTTAAAAAAAAAATAATTTTTAAAACCTTTTAAAACTTTATACCTCAGAGTCACTTTCTGAATCGATTAAGCTATGTCCGTCCATATTTCTGGAGAAGTGTTCAATAAGAGTTTGGATGAATTATGTTGTGAAATCTATAGAATTTAAAAGACCAATTTCTTTAAAAAATACTTTTTAAATCCTTTTAAACCTTTGTGTCCCAGAATCACTTTCTGAATCGATTAAGCTATGTCCGTCCGTCCATCCATCCGTCTGTGTCTGCCAGTCTGTCTGTCTGTCTGTCTGTGTTTCCACGTAAACCTTGTGTGCACGCTACAGGTCGCAATTTTTAAGATAATTTGATGAAATATAGCACATACTACTTTCTAAACTTGACAATTTTAAATCTACTAAACTCCCACTTAAAACTTATTATCTTTCCTTATATCTCATCAGCATTTCAAAAATTCTTTCAAATAACTCAAAATTTTCAATTGTTTTTCCGCTTATGTTATTTTTCTTATTTAAACAAAATTTCTTAATAATGTCAAAGTTCTTCTTATATCCCCAGCAAAAAAATATATATATAATAATATTTTATTTTGACAGAAAACTATTTGACAGTTTAGAAATTCCAATTCACTTAATGTGTCAATCATTGTTTTATGAACAGAAATTTTAACCCTTTTACTTCTACCAGCCCAAACCCTTGTCATTAAACGAAAACAAGAACAAAAATAAACAACGAAATAGAAAGAACTCTTCTGTTTTAAAGACAACATCAACATCATTTTACAAATAAAAAAATTATATATTTGTATTTATTTTTGAAATTGTTTAAATGTTTAACAAGTGTAAAGGGTAATATAAGGAAATGGAATTAGTTTGAGGAGAAAAAAAAAGAAATAGAGAAAGAGAATTTTTCTAGGAAAGGTTAATAGAAACTGTATTTTTGTGAATGTCAGCAATTTAGAAAATATTTACAATGATTAAAAATTTATGACAAGGAAGAAACGATCGTAAAAGAATTTATTAAATATTTGTTGTCATACAGTTTCACAATGATTGATAAATAATAAATAAGAAAGTAAAACTTTTAATGATGAGATTCCAGGAAGTAGGGAAAAGCTTATATATTGGACTAGTTTAACTATATTTTGTTTGTTGGAAACAATTTTCCTAAGTCCCCAGATTTCTTATTGAAACAAATCTTGGATCAATTTATCAATCATACATACGAGAAATGTTCTATGAAGTTAATCACTTTATGTCCTATTGAGTTACATATATCTTCCAAAAGAATTATATTTATCACCACTTCAAAAGTAGCACTAAGTGCCGTTATTTAGCTTCTGTGGAAGTGATGTTTAATGACTTCCAAAGTAATAATTACAATTAATTTTTCTTTCAAAACTGAAGATGTATATTGGGTTTATGCTGACGTTTGTAACGGACAGTAATATTGATCTTATATCCAACTTAAAGTGTACCAATCGGCTAAGAATCATTTTTTGAGTCGATTTAGCTATGTCCGTCCATCCGTCCGTCTGACCGTCAGTTCATGTAAACCTTGTTATCAAACTACAGGTCGCAATTTTGAAAATAAGGGGGACGAAGGGACGAAGCCTATTGAAAATGTTAAAAATCGGTTCATTATCTCTGCAAGCCCCCATACAACTGAATCCGCCGAATAGGGCTTTTAAGTTCATAATTATGTTTAATATACTCATATCTCGACAAAAAGCTACAAAACCTAGTTCTATACTAGCCTTGATTACCCTGATGGATTTTCTAATGATAGGGCCTCATTTGACCCTAGTATCTATACAAAGTCCCCTTCAAAATATGACTTATATGTCCACAATTTTATTCAACAATAAATGGCTTAAGTATGTATATCTGAGGAAAGGTACAATTCAACTTAAATGTTTTATTATGAAAAAAGAAACTAAATCATATTTATGGTCGGCCTTGCCCGACTATAATTTCTTACTTGTTTTTGTATTGAAATGCTGAGGAGTTTAAAAATATTATTTACAGTTTTTTATTTGTGTTAATATTATCAAATTAATCGTTACTGTTATACTATCAGGCCAGTTTAAATAATTGAGCTTGCATATCTCACTCATTCAAAATAACTTCCAAAAAAGAACATAAAAAATACTTCCTAAGCACTACTTCAAAAGTAAATCATAAATGAGGACTTCCACAAGCCTGAGAAAAATAATTAAATTCTTTCATCAAAAGCTGTGTTTAGTACAGGCTGCTAAGAAAGTTATACCCAAATTTTCTTTCAGTTGGTAATGAGAATATGAAGAAGTTAACCTGACAAATGCAAAGCCAATTTAAAAGCATGGAAAAGAGGAAACAAATTAACCATATGAAAAACTAAACGAAAGTAACTAGAAGGGGGCAGGGCTGAGATTAGTTCGATGGAACGTGTCACAATTTAAGAAACAATTTATTTAAATTTTTAAATTATTTGTTTATTTTTATTTAAATTTTTAATTATTTGTTTAAATTTTATGTAAAAAAAATTTAATTCATTTTTAATTTTTGTTTTATTTTTCAAATTTTTTATTTTTTTAATTAAAGTTTTCTTAAATTTTACTAAAAATATCGCAAATTCTTGGTATAAATTATAGCTGTAAACTTTAGCAAATCATATATGATAGAATTATTGAATATTTGGATCCTTGAAGATATCTGAGGTCTTCAGAAAATTAATTTTCACAAACATATAGACAGACAGACAGAAGGACAGACAGACAAACGGATGGACGGACATGGCATAATCGACTCCGTTATTTATAAGAAACCTTAAAATATATGACTAGCTAAACACGTCCGCATTATCAGTCTTAATTTGGCCTACATCTCTCTCTTACTAAAGACCTATATACTCCTATACTTTCAAAGTTTTCGTTTGAGCGACCCTCCCATTGGATAAATATACAATTTCACTGGAACACTTCCCATAACTCCTGTAATATATGTATACGTATGGGCAATTTCGTGAGAATTGGCCCAAATCAAAAAATTTATGAAATTTTCCGATAGGCCAGACAAAAATTGTCGGCCCTATCGGTCAAGAACTGCAGGACTTAGAGGGGGTCAAAGTAGGACATTTTGGTCATAAAGGGTTTTATTCAAATGAGTGTAACTTTTCACCTATTGGTCCTAGCAAAAATTGTCCAAAGGAGTTCAGATAGCTGTTTCTTTATTGTTTCCCAAAAAAAAAAAAAATAATTTTTTTTTTTTTCAAAAAACTCCCTGTTTTTTGCTCAAATGAAAGCTAGAACAATTTCCATTAAGGGCTTGCGAGTGGGATATCTATCAAAAAAATTATTTTTTAACTCAATAACAAGTTTTTTCAATATTTTCACCTATTTTTGCAAAATGGACGTTTTTGTTGTTTTTGATGCAAATTTCATCCATAACGGAAGACATCGATTTTAAAAGTCTGAATTTATCGACGAAATTGCCCATATTTAAAAATTTGTCTCATTAGGTACTGTGGTTTCTGAGTTTATCGATTAGGAACACATATTAGATTTTTATTTATAAATCCACACAATGCAGGATTTTGTTTGGACCTTGGTTGGACATGTGAACCTTAGACGTAAACATCTATATAACCCTAAAAATATTTGGTATAACAATTTAGCTGTAATTGATTTAAAATTAAAACTTTGGCGCCAGCTATCGAACAAATTAAAAACTTTACAGGAGTACTTCTCATGATCCCTGAAACATATATTTGAAAATTTTTCCCATCAGTTGCCTGAGTTTATCGATTACGAAAAAATATGTATATACCCTTATCACGAAGGTGAAGACACCAAGAACCTCACTTATTCCTCATTTAAGGGGCAATCCAATTTTAAAATATTTATTAACATGACTATACTGCAACACTAATAAAATATCGTACGTCTTTTGATCTCTGGATTGAACTCTACTGACCTGATCCCCCTTGATCAGTTAACACTATTATTAAATTCTTTAGAAATATTTTAATAAAAATTAAAATCAATCTAGGGTCCACTTCCACTTCTAGTTCAATTCTAGTTCATATTAGTAACTTTACTGTAAACAGATTCTAAACAAATTATTTCTGCAACAATATTTAATCACTCTTCCCAAACTGTTGAGTCCTATTCAAGTCTTTCTTTACACAAGTTAAGCTTCCGAAAATTTCATTGAATGTAATCAAACATAACCTTGCTTCTTTATAATTAAAACTTTATCCAACAGTATCATGTTAAAGCATTTTATAAATTAATTTATTTTTCTCCAGCAACAGGTACAAATTTCTTACAAAGTCCAGCTTGTCACTTTTCTACTTTTTTTATTAAGCTTTTTTCCTTTTTTTGCAATAACTCTTTCCAAAATCATTTCAAACTTTATATCTTTTCAAATTCCTTTTGTATGAAATCTAAAAAAATCACTTTAAAAGTTTGCAAACTTTTCAACACAAACAACAAATCAAGACCAAAAAACACTTGAATTGATTAAATAAAATAAAATATATTTTTGCTTTACCCTTTAAGTAAAAGCAAAAACAAAAAAAAAAAAGTTTTATAAAAAAGAAAAATTGGAAAGAAAAAGAAAATTCTTGTGAAAAGGCTAAAAACAAACAAAAAAATATTAGCACGAGACATTATTTTAAAAATACTTTATACGTCTACACATACAAAGAGCATTTTAAAATAAATAACCACACGAAATTAGCAACAAAATATTTTAAATCAACATTTTTTTTGTTAATTTTTCGAAATATAAGTGCGTTTTCTCTGCCCCTTTTAAATAATGTTGTGTAGATAAACCATTTTGCTAGACACACACACACAAACTTTCTTGTCTGGTACAAAAAATTTATTTATTTAGGTTTTTTTCAAAATTTTAATTATGACAATTTTAAGTCGCATGTTGAAATATTTTTTTTTTTTTTAAGAAAATACCTTGAAATATTTAATTTTTATTTTATTATTTTTTGGTTAATTTAATATTTTCTTTTGATTTTTTAAAGAAATTTTCACTTTCGTTTATAAATTTTTCACAACATTTTCTTCCATTTGTTAAGAAAATTTCAAAACACTTAAATTTTCTTTTTCCATTTATTAAATCTTAAATTTTAAACGACATTAAGGTCGTTGTAATTTGTTGTTGCTTTTATGCAAACACACACACACACAGATACACACTCTCGTACTTTTTTTCTTCACAAACGAATAGAAGAAAACTAAAAAATAAAAACAATTTAAATGAAAAAACGAGGCGTAACGTTTTGACACGTTTTCATTTTATACCGACGCGGCCACAACGTTTCGCTTTAAGCTTTTGACACAAACTGTTTGTCGCAAATATATCAGCTACAGCAAGAAGCTGTTTGTTGGTTGCAGGAAAATCTTTTCGATTTGTTGTTTTTATTGTGATTGGGAAAAACCTCTTGCTAAGTTCCACTATTCCCAGTATTCTCTGCAATTTTCCTTATCCCATGAGAGAAAGTACAAAAATGAGAGCGGATTTTTCCTACTTAACTGTAAATATATTGTAATAGTCTCTTACATTTTGAATCTTGCTCTCTTAGTGTGTGTATAAAATTTTCATTCATTTTGTTATGTTTATTTTTTGTTGTTATTGTTTTGTCAAAATATATGTTTCTTGTTTTTTTTTTTTTTTTCTTTTAAATTTCACTGTGACATTAAATTATTCTAAACAAATATAAGCTACTATAACAACTACAACAAGAGCATTAGTATAAAATAAACAAAAATAATGGCAACAAATTGCTTAAAACTCATTCATATTATATACAAAACTATATAGTTTTTTGTTTATTTCTGTTTCTGTGCAGTTTGTTATTTCTGTTTATTTTTTAGTTTTATTACAAAAAAACTTTCAAGATCAGTAGCGTAATGCACCATTTAAATTAATCAAACAATTTGAATTGAAATAATAAACGATTTAAAGTGATGGCTGTAAAAATGCGAAAAAAGAAAACGATAAATGTATAAACAAATTTAATGAGACACTAAGTGATTTCTTTGTTAGACACAATAAGCACTAGATGACACAGTGTTTGGATGGTAAATAGAGGATTTACAAGAAATGAGAATAAAGTTGGATACGCCTTATATTTGAAGTAGTCTAGAGTTTACGTGGCCTACTGTAAGCAAGAAGTTCTAGTTCAGTACTAGTTCAGTTCTAGTTCAGTTCTAATTCAGTACTAGTTCAGTTCTAGTACAGTCTAGTTCTAGTTCAGTTCTAGTTCAGTTCTAGTTCAGTTCTAGTTCAGTTCTAGTTCAGTTCTAGTTCAGTTCTAGTTCAGTTCTAGTTCAGTTCTAGTTCAGTTCTAGTTCAGTTCTAGTTCAGTTCTAGTTCAGTTCTAGTTCAGTTCTAGTTCAGTTCTAGTTCAGTTCTAGTTCAGTTCTAGTTCAGTTCTAGTTCAGTTCTAGTTCAGTTCTAGTTCAGTTCTAGTTCAGTTCTAGTTCAGTTCTAGTTCAGTTCTAGTTCAGTTCTAGTTCAGTTCTAGTTCAGTTCTAGTTCAGTTCTAGTTCAGTTCTAGTTCAGTTCTAGTTCAGTTCTAGTTCAGTTCTAGTTCAGTTCTAGTTCTAGTTCAGTTCGAGTTCTAGTTCTAGTTCAGTTCTAGTTCAGTTCTAGTTCAGTTCTAGTTCAGTTCTAGTTCAGTTCTAGTTCAGTTCTAGTTCAGTTCTAGTTCAGTTCTAGTTCAGTTCTAGTTCAGTTCTAGTTCAGTTCTAGTTCAGTTCTAGTTCAGTTCTAGTTCAGTTCTAGTTCAGTTCTAGTTCAGTTCTAGTTCAGTTCTAGTTCAGTTCTAGTTCAGTTCTAGTTCAGTTCTAGTTCAGTTCTAGTTCAGTTCTAGTTCAGTTCTAGTTCAGTTCTAGTTCAGTTCTAGTTCAGTTCTAGTTCAGTTCTAGTTCAGTTCTAGTTCAGTTCTAGTTCAGTTCTAGTTCAGTTCTAGTTCAGTTCTAGTTCAGTTCTAGTTCAGTTCTAGTTCAGTTCTAGTTCAGTTCTAGTTCAGTTCTAGTTCAGTTCGAGTTCAGTTCTAGTTCAGTTCTAGTTCAGTTCTAGTTCAGTTCTAGTTCAGTTCTAGTTCAGTTCTAGTTCAGTTCTAGTTCAGTTCTAGTTCAGTTCTAGTTCAGTTCTAGTTCAGTTCTAGTTCAGTTCTAGTTCAGTTCTAGTTCAGTTCTAGTTCAGTTCTAGTTCAGTTCTAGTTCAGTTCTAGTTCAGTTCTAGTTCAGTTCTAGTTCAGTTCTAGTTCAGTTCTAGTTCAGTTCTAGTTCAGTTCTAGTTAGTTCAGTTCTAGTTCAGTTCTAGTTCAGTTCTAGGTCAGTTCTAGTTCAGTTCTAGTTCAGTTCTAGTTCAGTTCTAGTTCAGTTCTAGTCAGTTCTAGTTCAGTTCTAGTTCAGTTCTAGTTCAGTTCTAGTTCAGTTCTAGTTCAGTTCTAGTTCAGTTCTAGTTCAGTTCTAGTTCAGTTCTAGTTCAGTTCTAGTTCAGTTCTAGTTCAGTTCTAGTTCAGTTCTAGTTCAGTTCTAGTTCAGTTCTAGTTCAGTTCTAGTTCAGTTCTAGTTCAGTTCTAGTTCAGTTCTAGTTCAGTTCTAGTTCAGTTCTAGTTCAGTTCTAGTTTCAGTTCTAGTTCAGTTCTAGTTCAGTTCGAGTTCAGTTCTAGTTCAGGTCTAGTTCAGTTCTAGTTCAGTTCTAGTTCAGTTTCTAGTTCAGTTCTAGTTCAGTTCTAGTTCAGTTCTAGTTCGGTTCTAGTTCATTCTAGTTCAGTTCTAGTTCAGTTCTAGTTCAGTTCTAGTTCAGTTTCTGTTCAGTTCTAGTTCAGTTCTAGTTCAGTTCTAGTTCAGTTCTAGTTCAGTTCTAGTCAGTTCTAGTCAGTTCTAAGTTCAGTTCTAGTTCAGTTCTAGTTCAGTTCTAGTTCAGTTCTAGTTTCAGTTCTAGTTCAGTTCTAGTTCAGTTCTAGTTCAGTTCTAGTTTCAGTCTAGTTCAGTTCTAGTTCAGTTTCTAGTTCAGTTCTAGTTCAGTTCTAGTTCAGTTTCTAGTTCAGTTCTAGTTCAGTTCTAGTTCAGTTCTAGTTCAGTTCTAGTTCAGTTCTAGTTCAGTTTCTTCAGTTCTAGTTCAGTTCTAGTTCAGTTCTAGTCAGTTCTAGTTCAGTTCTAGTTCAGTTCTAGTTCAGTTCTAGTTCAGTTCTAGTTCAGTTCTAGTTCAGTTCTATTTCAGTTCTATTTCAGTTCTAGTTCAGTTCTAGTTCAGTTCTAGTTCAGTTCTAGTTCAGTTCTAGTCAGTTCTAGTTCAGTTCAGTTCTAGTTCAGTTCTAGTTCAGTTCTAGTTCAGTTCTAGTTCAGTTCTAGTTCAGTTCTAGTTCAGTTCTAGTTCAGTTCTAGTTCAGTTCTAGTTCAGTTTCTAGTTCAGTTCTAGTTCAGTTCTAGTTCAGTTCTAGTTCAGTTCTAGTTCAGTTCTAGTTCAGTTAGTCTAGTTCAGTTCTAGTCAGTTCTAGTCAGTTCTAGTTCAGTTCTAGTTCAGTTCTAGTTCAGTTCTAGTTCAGTTCTAGTTCAGTTCTAGTTCAGTTCTAGTTCAGTTCTAGTTCAGTTCTAGTTCAGTTCTTAGTTCAGTTCTAGTTCTGTCAGTTCTAGTTCAGTTCTAGTTCAGGTTCTAGTTCAGTTCTAGTCAGTTCTAGTTCAGTTCTAGTTTCGTCTAGTTCAGTTCTAGTTCAGTTCTAGTTCAGTTCTAGTTCAGTTCTAGTTAGTTTCTAGTTCAGTTCTAGTTCAGTTTCTAGTTCAGTTCTAGTTCAGTTATAGTTCAGTTCTAGTTCAGTTCTAGTTCAGTTCTAGTTCAGTTCAGTTCAGTTCTAGTTCAGTTCTAGTTCAGTTCTAGTTCAGTTTTCTAGTTCAGTTCTAGTTCAGTTCTAGTTCAGTTCTAGTTCAGTTCTAGTTCAGTTCTAGTTCAGTTCTAGTTCAGTTCTAGTTCAGTTCTAGTTCAGTTCTAGTTCAGTTCTAGTTCAGTTCTAGTTCAGTTCTAGTTCAGTTCTAGTTCAGTTCTAGTTCAGTTCTAGTTCAGTTCTAGTTCAGTTCTAGTTCAGTTCTAGTTCAGTTCTAGTTCAGTTCTAGTTCAGTTCTAGTTCAGTTCTAGTTCTAGTTCAGTTTTGGGTTAGCTATAGTTCAGTTCTAAGAATTGAATGAAATATAATTGAAAATCTTCGCTACTGAATCGAAATCTTTTTCTCACCAAAAATTAGGAAGAATTCTAATTAAGCAAATAGTTAAGTAGGATTATCTAGGATTATTTGTGATAACAAAAATGATATTTTATCTGATATAAGTTCATACATACATATTTTTGTTTGGTATTTTGATAACTGAAATACCACAGGAACTCCTTTATATGAAGGGTCTGCAAACACATTTTTTTAAAAAAACCGAACTCTTTAAGTAAAAATTAAATTATTTTCAAGTCTACCTAGCATAAATCAATATTAATTAGTCTTTATTAAAAATCAAAGCTGTTTGTTTTCTTTTGGCACATAAATTGTAAACAAATTAAATCAAACGACTTTTCAGCGACAAAATAAATAAACGAATATATAAAAAAAGTATAAGCAATTAATTTTCTAAGAATGTTTTTTTTTTATTTACAAACATAAATACATTGTTTTTAAACAGCTGTCAGTTAAAATTTAAACAAAGAAGAGGTGAAAGTTACTTTAATTAACTCAAGCATAAGGAGCTCAACTTAAGACATACATATGTATACCCATACAAAATGAAATGTAAACACCAGTTAACCAACATAAATTTTTGAACATGGGAAACATTAATTGACATGATTATTTTATTTTTGAAAATAACTGTTAGTTATGTTCAAACAAAGTTTCATCATAGACATATTTAAAAGAATTTTCAAGTATGTTTAAACACAAAATAATGCATAAAGAACAAGTATCATAAATGTCTGGAATTGAAATAAACCGTATGTTTTTGTTTTGTTTTGTTGTTCTAAAAATAAATATTAACTTTTCAAAAAAACGAAAAGAAAACCATTTATGGTTTTGAAAAGAATCCATTTAATTGTTTAGTTCAACGAACAGTTGTAGCAAGAAACAAAATAAATAAATGAAGTATTTAAAGAATGTCTTGTAAATCACCTGGTACTTATATTTGCTGTTAAATAAATTAAGTAGTATATAAATTTAATTTATATTTAAGACTTATTTACGTATAAATTTTATTCGTAGATCATTAATACTTTTACATCGTAAAAGTATGGAAATAGTTAATGAAAACTATACGCATACTGTTGTTACACATACATATGTAAGTCG